AGGTGGTGGTGGTGGTGGTGATGAGTGAGTCTGGTGTGCTGAAATTGAAGTTCAAACAGAACGACCCAATCAACTTTCTTTGAAAAGTTCCATAGCAACAGGATAGAAACTGAATTTAATTCAAAAGTAGTTAAACAGAACAAAATCTACATGATGAAGACATGTGGAGGAAAAAGTAGTGAAATTGCAAATGAGTTATCTGAGCAAGAATGAAACATTAATGGTTTCTACACACAGAAGGAACTGAGGGAAAATTGGTGATTACAGTATAAAGCCCCTCATATCCTTATTTATTTCCTTTGTTTTAGCTTTAATTTTTGTTGTTGTTGTTGTGCTTTTTATTTTATTTCTTAGACTTGATTCCTAAAGAAAGAAAAGACTTGGTTGAGCGGGCATTTTCTCTTGTGCCCACTAGATGGCAGGTATAGGATTTGGAATGCCTTACTGAAGTTTCCTGTGTCTTCATTCACGTCTGCATTACCTCTAAATGAGAAAACCCACTAGGATGAAAGGAGTGAAATTTAGAAGCAATTCTCTCTCCTTTCCTCTCAGCCTACCCCCACCTAGTTATTTATTTGTCTTTTAAAGAAAATGCAAAGGAAAGAAAGACCAGTAAAACTGGGAAAAGCATGTAAGGTTTCAAATAAGGTATTTAAGTTCTATATAGAATTACAGTGTAAAAAGAGGAGCAGCTGTGAGTATTCAGTTCCTTTAGAAAAACTGTGAAACTACAATCTAGCAACAGTCACATGTCACCGTGAGAAACGTTCTAGGTGTTTCTTTTCTTGTTCCTTCCTTCCTTCCTTTCTTCTTTTTCCTCTGAACGTATACAGTCCAAAATAGTGTGTTGCCTCAGTGTGATCTCAGTGCCTTAATTTTCTCACAGTTCAATGTGAAGGAACTGGGTTTTGTTTTGAAGGGTGTGTTCCTTTCCAATAAGGGGCCGAGGCTCTGGAAATGTAAAGGGCCGATCTTTGTTACAGAGGGGCTCATTGCAGAGAAGGGTGTGTTCTGCAAAGGCAAACAGGTCTCACAGATAGTTGCCAAGGGCACGGAACACATCTTTGCATTACACCTTGAACTAGCTTGCTCATATCACCTCTTTTATTGCATGCACCATAAATGACTGTAAAAGTTTGCAAATCTTGCAGAGCCCTTGGCAATCAATACTTCAACAGGAAATTTACAAAGAGGCTGGGGGGAGGAGTCCAGCCTAGTAATTTGCTTTTTTGGCACAAGAACTGTGTGCTGACATTGAGAATTATTAAGTGTTCGATTTTCACAGTGTCTCTGTCAGATGCATAACATAGTCAGAGTGGTTTCAATTTAGATGCTCAATTTGAAATCTTGGCTTTGCATTTTTATGAACAGGTAGGAGAACTTTGGAAACAGGCTGGTGGTCTTCCTTACATAAACTGGTCCTCCAGAGCTGTGACTTGATTGCCAACGATAAAGTAATTTTAATCTGAGTCAGACTGGAGCCAAACTGGATGGCAGGTTGGTCCCTAATGTGATGCCTATAGCTTTAATGTTTTTAAGCCTCTGATCCATCCTGCCACCCCAAAGACCGGAAAAATAACCTGATTCTTTTTATATTGGATAGCGTGACCGAGTCAGTGTTCTGAGACTGAATCTGCCTGGTGGACTGATTTTCTTTTCCTATTTTGCCTCTCTCCCTTTTTCATTGTTTCCTTCTTCTTCTCTTGTTGTATCACTAAGTTTAAACCGTGGAAAGATGGGAGCAGGTGGAAAGCTCCAGCAGATAAAAAGCAGGTGAGGACACACTAGATGAAGACGAGATGCTCCTTGCTACTGCCCCAGACCCAAGGACTGACCTCTTTGTAGGTCGCAGCAGCGAAATGGGCTGGCCCCAAGCTATCAGGCTGTGGGCTAGCCTTAGGCTGTACTATGCGGCTAAAGGATTGGGGATCCCCTAGTAGTTGGCTGGGATCACCTGAGAAAACATCCTGTTCTTCAGACTGTCCAGGAGCCACATTTATCCTCATCCTTACCCTGCAGCCTGGCCTTCTCTTCCTCCCAAACCCAGTGACCTAAGACCTGGCCTCTCCTTGAGATGCATAAAACATACGTAGGTCCCCAGGGAGTATTAGAAGTTCCAGCGGATGCTGTTTTATCCAGTGCTTTGCTGCAGGGTCAAGCACAACCTCCTCAGTTGAGCGTCCTCACAAACACAGCACAGCTCAGGACTAATTTCAACAGAGGTCTTTTGCAGGCAAGTGACTTTGAAGATATTCCTAGGCTTTGTCCAAATCTAGAGAGGAGTGTGTGTGTGTGTGTGTGTAGAAATGTTTGAGCGTCATACTTTCTATGTATTTCCTCCTGCTGCAGGTGAATGTCAGCAAGCTTGGGCTGTCATTCCCTTCCCCTGAGTCCCTGTGTGTGGTGTTGACCTACTGAGGCCTGGGTATCACAGAAAGTGCTTAGAGGATCTTTTTTATTTTTTAATCTAGCCGGCAAAGGTGGTGGTGGTATCAGCTGGCCTCAGTCAGAAGCCTACTTCTGCCCATCACGTGGTACGAAGGGTTTAAATTCTCAGCAGGTGGGGCGGGATTGCCCAAGCAGCCATGGTTCTCATGGTTCAGCTGTGGGTGCGCAAAAGGAGACCGACTTCCTCTCTGCTGCACCCTCACGTCCATCCACAAGTCACCAACTCTCCTGACAAGGCTACTATTTGTAAAAAGCTGCATTAGAAACTCGAATTTTTAGATAATCTGCGTGGCATTGGGAAGAAGACTGCTATAAACAAGGAAGAATACGTTCAGACTGCAGGAGAAACCTTTAGTGAGAAAGCGGAGTGAGGCGGGCTTTGAAGCCCCATTTTGAGCGTTCAGTGTTAGGTTAAAGGGCAGATAGGGCATGAACACGCGTGTGTAATTTTCCTCCTGCCAACCGCTAGCGAAACGAAGCTTCAAGTGTCTTCCAGGAACCTTTCCCTGAAACATTCTCGCGATCTCTTCCTGCTCTTTGTGGGCCCACGCTCCACCCCTGCCGAGCATCAGGGAACAGCTCCGCATAACGGGAGATTTGTGACCTTCAGCAACTAAAACCCATGCCATGGAGAATCATAATAAATTAGGTTCCGTAACGATATACATGATGATCTCAGGTTTCGTCCTTTGGTTTACCTGGTAAAACTGCCAAACTCCGGAGCCCAGGAGACCTCTTCACTGTCTTTTTACCTGTTAATAGATTGCGTTCATATAGTCTCCCAGACGTCGACCCTGCTCAGTGTGTTTTCCACTGAACGAAATACAATACTTCTCTTCCATGGTATCTAAGACTTCACACACTTTTGAGTGCTTGGCTTAACTGTGTCTATCTTCGCTGGTCAAAAAGCTGTTGATTAAATTCTCTGGCCAAAGTGCTACAAATTGTCAGCATACTTTTGAACAGAACAGATCCCATGATTATTTCCTGGTAGATCGGAGAGTTTACCAGGCAGCCAGCAGGCATTGATCAGGCAAAACCAATCCTATTGATATTGTGGATCCACAGTGAAATAAAGGAGTCTTTTCAAGTCAAATAGATTTTCTTGCTGGGCACAAGAGTGTCAGGTCTCAGCCTTTGTGATCTGAGAGGGAAGGAGTTCATCCCCAAACTTTCAGGGTTTTATGCTAATTATATATTTACATTTTAGTATATTATAGACAATCCTCACGGTCCAAATGTCTGAAAACGTTTTTTTTTTTCTTTCTTCCTTAAACAACGGCCACAGGAAAGCTGTAAACAACACACCTGTGGGCGATTTGCATAATCAATGTAACCCATTAATTCTAACTCTTCCTCTCTGTTTGACCCTGGCTGGAGGGAAGCCTCCTGCTTTCCTCACACTGTTGGCAAGGTCTCATGGGAAATGAGCACCCAAAGAATTTGTTTTGCTCTGCAAATTCCGTGTAAAGAAAATTGTATGTGATCTGTCTGCTTTGTTCGGATTTCTACAAAGGCTAACTCCTTGTTTTTAAAAGTGTCTTTCAGCAAGATATTCAGAAGGAGGAAACTGAGAAAGTTTAGTAAATCCTATCTAAAAGAAAGAGAAGAAAAACACTCCCAGTTCTTTGAACTCTCTGGCATAATTACAATACTAAAATAACAGCCATCCCCCTCGTTAGAAAAGAAAATCCTGTGGATTAAGGAGCTGTTTATCTCATGAGTATAATTACTTGTTGGACCCAAACCCTTTCATTCCTGCGACCATGATGTTAAACTGATAAGATTAAAAAAGAAAATCACAGATCTGTCTGTTCCTGTCACAAACTCCTGGCCAAGATGATCAGCTGTAGCACGGATTTGTCAGGTATCATTTCATAAGGAGAAGGTTCTGGAAGGCGCAGTGAGTAGGGAAGGGAGAGAGAAGTTTTCCATCTGATACATATGTAAAAAGTGTTTATTGATTAGATCTGAAAGAGAAATGCATTCTCCCGTCTCTGCTTAGAACTCTAGCAGAACAGAGCACCCAGGAGGCGTTCCCAATCACAGGCCCAAGGTGCAATTTAAAGAAGTTGGCCTTACGGTCCCCTAGTGGTATCACTGCAGTCTTGCCCCCAGGAACCCATTTAATTCCTTATAATGATACTTCCGCCCTTTTCTGGACCTCTTGAGCACTGAATTAGACTCGCATCCTCGGAACACAGGCTTCTCCTTGCCACTTGCTCTAAAGCACTTTCTGGCCCGAGTAAATGTCAGGGAGATGGAGAGCGATCAGCTCCAGCTGAAGGCGTCAAGTCACGCGGGTCCTTGACCTGCTGGATCTCAGAATGCGGCTGTGGCAGTCACTGAGGGATGTCTGCGAAGGCCCCGACGGCCACGGTGGTGGTCGCTGGCCCGCGAGCCCCAGGGCTTGGGAACCGGGAAATGATCTCGCCCGGGAGGAGGCTGCCTCGCTGCTTTCAGTTTTCATTGAGGCTCTCTGGTTACTGTTTAACATCCCCACCCACGTTTCAGTTTGTTTAGTAAATCGATCTCACTGCGAGAGTCAGGCCCCGGCCCTGTCGCCATTGAGCAAAGCTAATATTCTTCCGGCATATGGTCCCCCAAAATCTTTGCTAAAGATCCAGGAAAACAAACAAACAAAACAACAAAATCCCCGGGCCACCTCTCCCGGAGCCCCACCCCACCTCCCGGCTTGCTGCAAACTTCCTGGCCCCCGGACGGTGCACCGCGGGACACCGCGGTCAGGGCGGGCGGGGACCTGCTGCTGGGATGCGGCTCCAGCCGCGCAGCTGAGTGCGACGCGGGAGCTCCGGAGCCGCTGGCGTGGGTGAGTCGCTACGCCCGCGCCTGGTGTCCGGGAATGACCCACTCCATGCCCGGCCCCTGTCTGGCACCGGGAGTCTCAGTTTCCCGGAGAAAGCAGTTGAGAGGCTAAGCACCCTGACCCCTTAGGCCTGATACTACAGAAAGCAGACCACCCCAGGCCTCCTACAGCCCAGGTGGGCTGAAGAAAGGCTGGAGGCTGCTGTAGCTTGAGTGTTCAACCCCTTCCTCCTCGGAGAAGGAAAATAGAAGCTGCATTTGTTTGGGTGTTGAGAAAGCTTTGGTGACTGTTTCTGGTCACATGATTCCAAGACCTGTTGGTGGTGTTGGGGGAGTTCCCTGGAGGTCTGGGGGGCTCTGGGTCCAAGCTAGAACACGTGACTGAGTATTGAATGACAATAGAGGTGTGAGGTTGAGGCTTGGTGCAGAAGCATCACCTGGTCCCATGACCTTTGCTCAAATTTGCTTCCATATATTCTTTGGTACCTTTAGGAACTAGGCACCTTCTGATGATGCTGCTGAGAACCATTGGGCAAGTTAGTAGACATGTCAATTTCTTTGGGAAGATTTGTCCTAGTGGATGTCGAGTTAAACCGCATTTGGATTAAGTGACAGTCATTCAGTGTCTAATGGGAATAAATCAGTATGTGATAAGATCTTAGAAGGACTATGATGAGCCCTATCAGAGGGAATGTGTTTAATTCACATACTCCTCTGAAATATGCAAAACAGTCCTGGTTTTCATCTGAAGATAAGGGTTGGAGAATACAAGTACAGGAGCTCAAGATTTTGTGGGATAGTCTGCAATGAAAACCTCAGTGATGGCAGCATTTCCTGGTTTGGCTTTAGTTTCTTCACCCAGCTTGACAGCTTATTTTACACGAGATTTGTTTCTTGTTTTCTTTTTACAAGCATGTACTATTCCTCCATCTTGGCTATCACTATTTGTTCAATAATTGTCTCCCTGCTCCTACCCTCATCAGCCTCCCTTTGTTCTCACACTTCTGACTCAAGTCACCTGATATCCTGAGTCTGAAGACCTTGACCAAGTCAATGTTGAATTCCCTTGGTTGCACTGGCATAGGGGTTGCTGATAAACTTGCCATTGACAGTTTTTCCAAGCATGGTGGAAACTTATAGCAATTTGCATTCTTCTTGCTGGTCCCCTTCCTCTACAAATTTTGGGACATTCTCAGCCAGCCCTAGGAAGGTTCAACCTCTAACCAAAATGTCACTAAAAAGATTTCAAGAGATGATTTGCTCTGAGATTGTGGCTATAAGCTTATGGAATAACACAAATTAATTTTACAGATTGTTATTTTTTTAAAAAAACATACTCAGCATGCAAATAATAACTGTATTCATCATCTTCCATTAAAACTTCAAAACTGATAGATTTTCAACAAGAGAGTGGCAGCATCTTAAACACTGGCCTACATATAGTGTTGCAAACTCAGTAAGCATATTTCCATTAGAGTGTTTCATTACTCTGAGATTCTTTGTTATTTCCATAAATTCCAGAAGTAAAACAATGTGCAGTTTATAGTTAAATATACATAGAATTTCTGTCCTTTTGTGTATGGAGCCTTTGTTGACATTGGGTTTGTGTCTCAGTCATCTTCATCTGTACAGCCCATGAATGGGTACCTTCTCTAAACTAACTATGCCTAAGGCACTGGATACCATTTTTTAAAATCTAATTGAAAATTGCTTATCAGTTTGGAGATTACCAAGTGAAGACTATATAAACCATACCTGGGTGAGTAAGTTCAGGAGTTTGAAAATATTGTTTTACAGGGGAAAATAAATTAACAAAGTTTTAGAATGTTGTCATAGGACTGTCATAGGATATATCTGTAATGTAGTGGTAGAGCACTCACTTGCCTACCATGCCCTGTCTTGGCAGCATCATCATTGTATTTTGAGCTCATGAAAGATGCTTCTGTGTTTACTACTATTTACCCAGGGATGGCTGCAGATACATGTTCCTGGTATGTGAGAATTTCTGTATCCCAGGTGCCATTCATCGATGACCTGGAAGTAGTTGTGATCTGTGTAGCAACTAATTACTATGCTTGCCATGTTCCTAAAAGAAGATTTTCATCCTAGGATCAAAGTACCACTTTTGTTTACTTTGCCATCTTCAACTTTTTTTTTCATTTTTCTTTGTTTGTTTATTTATTTTGAGATTGGCCTTGAGATTGTTTTGTATACATGGATGAATTTGAACTTAATATCTTTCTGCTTCTATCTCTCCCATTCTGGGATTACAGGTTTGTACCATCATACCCGATGTAGGTGATGATGGAGATAAAACTCAGGGCTTTGTGCATGCTAGGCAAGCACTTTATACAGTGAGTCATATTCTCAGCTCTCTTTGCTTTTACACACAGGGTAGAGATTTTCCTGTGCTGGTATTGCAGCCACAATGTCCTGCTAGATTCTTTAAAATTCTGTAAACAATTATCAAAAGATGGGAGCCTCCAAATCTGGCATGCCAGAATGTCTTTGATAATCCTACCCCAGGAGATAGTGACAAAAAAAGCTAAGCCCTCAGCTGACTGCTTCAAAACTATGGAATGACCTCCCTGGTAACCTAGGCAGAGCATGTATGTTGGGGTTATTGTTACCTTTTATATAAATTGTACCACTATGTCTATTTGAATTCAAATAAATAAATATGGGACTGAGAAGATAGTTCTATTGGTAAAGTACTTGCCACACAAGCATGAGGATGTGGGTTTGCTCCTTAGAACCCATGTTGAAAAAACATGAATGGTGATGCAGACTCTTGGAATCTCAACACAGTACGCAGAGAAAAATGGATACCTGGCATTTATATGCCAGTCAGTCAGCCATAATCTCTGAGCCCTGGGCTGAAGAAAGACCCTGTCTCAAAAACACAAGGTAGATGGTGCCTGAGAAACAACAGCAGTGTTTGCCCCTGACTTCCGTTCACACACAGGTGGATATATATAACAACTCCATATTTAAAAAGAAGCTACCCCTTGTGGGGAGCAACAGTTGGCTATACTTTAATGCATACCTGCAAATACAAATACTTCTCTCATTGTAGGGAATTACCTTTTTTTTGTCAACCCTGCCATTCATGCACAGGTATGTGTGCTTTACACATATGACTTAACTCTCATAGCTGCAGCAGTTAAGGAAGCAAATACACACACACACACACACACTCATTTTAGCTAATACTGAGTTCTTAACATATAGGTGATATTGTTCTAAACAATTTTCATGTGTTTCTTTTTTAGATCTTTATATTAATTCTACATAATAAGTATTAATATTCTATTTTACTAACAATACACATGAAGTAAAAAAGCAATAAGTAGAGTTTGACGTTCACAGGGGTCAAAGCTGGGTATTCAGGTGCTACCATGTGGCTCTGGGGACAAAAATGCAGCCAAGGATGTCCCTTTTAGACCTTCAGTTGTTCAAGCCACAGCTGTCCTTAAATGGGGAAATGAGAGCTGAAACCTTCCTACCACAGGCAAAAACAGGTTCCCTTGCTCTGAGAGGTCTGGAAAGGTTCTCCTAGGTCATGAAGTATGTGAACTAGCAACAATCATGTCTGATGAGCAAAGGCCCATGCTGACATATTTTGGTACTGATACAAGTAACTAACATGTTCTTATCCATTCTCTTCAACTACACCATGATGAGGAGCTCTGCCATACTTCCCAGCTTGTATTTTAAGATACTGTGGTGAACTGTGTTCCCTACATGGTAGCACAGAGTGAGTGCCACATTTTTCTGATGATCTTTCATTACATCATGGTAATTTCTGTAAAATTCATACGTAGTTCAAAATGTATTACAAATTTAAGGGATTCTGTACTCTGATATTAAGCCTCTCCGCCGATGCAGTCAATCAAACCAAGATGAAGTATGAATTAAAAGTCTAGGTTTAATGAAGAAAATGCGCCCTGATGTAGGAGACAGGAGAAGAGGCCTTTTCAATACCCTGTAGACATGATCTTGAGCATTTATGGGAGAGGAGCCACCATGGTAGGGCTTTCTGAGACTGGGCAGGGTTTGGAGCAAGTCCTTCCTCCAAGATGGAGCTCTATCCATTCACAAATGCATTCAAAATGTAGTACAAAATGGTTTGTAATACCTTTTTGTTTTGTTTTTTCAGACAGGGTTTCTCTGAGTAACCCTGGCTGTCCTGGAACTTGCTCTGTAAACCAGGGTGGCCTTGGACTCAGAGATCCCCCCCCCCACTTCTTCCTCCCAAGTGCTGGGATTAAAGGCATGTGCCACTGCTTTGATTTGTAATGCTTTTTAAAAATTGTTATTTTTTTATTTTTCAGTTACATATATTCATGTGGCTGCGGTTGGGGTGAGTGGGTATGTGGAACCTAGGAAAGGGTGTCCGACTTCCTGGAGCTCTAGTTACAGCTTGTGAGCGCTCTAGTATTGGTAGTGGGAGAGCAAACGCTGCCTTGGTCTTTTACAAGAGCTGTGTGCTCTTTTAACTGCTCAGCTTTCTCCAGCCCTGATTTATATTAAATCATTAAATGTTAGATACTTTTATTTTCTCTTACTTCAGAGATTGTTACATGTACACAAGTAAGCAAAAGGCATGACTTTAACAATCTTTGGACCCCTAGAAACCTGGCCAAGCCCATTGACCAGCCCTGGATCTCTAGGGATGCCTGCATAGACTGTCCCTAACTTCACAGAGACTTTAGTTTTCAAGTGTGAAAGACATTTACCCCAGCATAGATCATTAGCTTGGAACACGTGTTTGGACTTTGGCAGGACCTGTGTGCAAATGTCAGCTGTATAGATGGCAAGTCCCTTCATGTATGTGTGCATCAGTTTAAAGAGCTGTGATCGGAACCATATTCTCTTACTCCCAAATCATGTGTGGATTCTTACATTCTTTATATTAGACACTTTATTTGTTGAGGAGCCATACTTCTCTATGACAGCAAAAAGGTTGGCACAAATCTAAGAAGTGTATCTCCACTTGCTCTT